TTTTTAAAAAAAAAGGAAAAAAAAAAAGAAAAAAAAAGCCCTTCTCGTCGTTGACCCTGGGGGACCTCCTATGTGTCTCTGTTCTGGACCTGGTTCGGATTCTGGGGTCAACTAGGGGTTGGTTTCACTGTTTGTCTCCGCCTAGCTTTACGGTTTTCCCTTTACTCCCTTTTTCAGACGCGTCATTCTCGTTTCGCCTAGCGGAACTTGGAGGCTCGGGACTCGTATTTACAGGTTAGCGGATCTGTCCCTCTTCGCTCTTTGGCACAGGGAGCTCAGCCCTTCGTTGGCTCCCTGGCCTCTCCGGAGATGGTTTCCTCACGCCCGGAATTAAGTGTTTTGACCAACCTTCGCTTCCGTGACCCGGGTCATTTCAAAGCTGGTATGCTTCACGAAAGTTTCCCTGTTTGGCAACTTCTTCTGGCAGATTATTCCTGTGTGGTGGATCTTCTCGAGATTCTCCGGGATGGTGTTCGTGAGGAGAATTTTTTCACCCCATTTAGGGGGGATTTGAAGGGGCAGTTCCACCATGCGCAGACCCCTCCTTCCATTCAGATCAAGAACGCTGCTACTTGTGCACAGTTCGCTGATTTTATTAGCGATACCATTGTTCGGTAGGTGGCATCAGGGGTTTTGTCCGTTTGGGGAGAAGTTGGAGTCGTGTCTCCGCCTCATTTGGTCCTTCCTATTACCATTGAGCCGTCCAAGCCTCGTCTCTGCCACGACGAAAGGTTTTTAAACTTATGGGTTAGGGATCTTCCATTTAAATTAGATCACCTAGCGGATTTGCGCCGGTTTGTTTTGCCTGGGCATTTCCAGACGACCTTTGATGACAAGAGTGGCTACCAGCATGTTCGGCTGCAACCGTCGTCGGAGACGTACTTTGGGCTCGAGTGGGATAATTTCTTTTTTGTGTTTCGTACGCTCCCCTTTGGTTGGAAGGCCAGCGCCTATATTTATCATAACTTAGGTCTAGTCGTCTCGCATGCCGCTCGCTCCCTTGGGGTTCCCCTGTCACAGTATATACTCCGATATCACTTTCCGCCATCTTGGATTGCGTGCCGCACCAAAGCGAGGCTGGACGGGCACCCGCTAACAAGTCAACATGGCGGAAGGATTGTTGTCTGCTGCGTGGTCGAAATCTCTCAAAGGTATTCCGTATTTTGACTCATCTTTCATCGAGAAATGGCTTGAGAAGGACGGTAAAGTCCCAAAAAAAGTAATAACTCGTGTTTATAGTAATTTCTGCGAGGGTTATATCTTTGATGTCGAAGGTAAGTTTCTATACCATGCACGATTTAGGAAGAGTGTAATGACAGCATGAAATTTGTGATCTATCACACATCACACAGCACAACCGACACAGACGAGAGGAGGAGTAACCCAATTATTGTCTTATCTGCGGTTGCGTAGTCAACAGCGGCAGAGAAGGTATGGGCCGAGAACCTTGTCGCAAGACATTGCAGGGCGTATTAAGGAAACACACTGAGTGTCAAACGACATCAAACGACATCACCGTAGTTTCACAAGGTATCACACTGTATCACGAAGTATCACATCGCATCCCACTACATCAAAGGTCTTCACACAGCATCACAAGGCCTCACAAGGCATCACACATCATCACACTGCATCACACCGCATCAAATCGCATCACACCCCATCACAAGGCATCACACCGCATCACAAGGCATCACACATCATCACACTGCATCACATCGCATCACACCCCATCACAAGGCATCACACCGCATCACACAGCATCATAAAGCATCACAAGGCCTCACAAGGCATCACACAGCATCATAAAGCATCACAAGGCCTCACAAGGCATCACACAGCATCACAAGGCCTCACAAGGCATCACAAGTCGTCACATGGCATCACAAGTCGTCACACGGCATCACAAGGCGACACACGGCATCACACAACAGCACAAGGCCTCACAAGGCGACACTCAGCATCACAAAGGATCACAAGGCATCACACAGCATCACACCGCATCACATCGCATCACACCCCATCACATCGCATCACACCCCATCACAAGGCATCACACCGCATCACAAGGCCTCACAAGGCATCACACAGCATCATAAAGCATCACAAGGCCTCACAAGGCATCACAAGGCATCACACAGCATCATAAAGCATCACAAGGCCTCACAAGGCATCACAACGCATCACACAGCATCACAAAGCATCACAAGGCCTCACAAGGCATCACAAGTCGTCACATGGCATCACAAGTCGTCACACGGCATCACAAGGCGACACACGGCATCACACAACATCACAAAGGATCACAAGGCATCACACAGCATCACACAGTATCACAAGGCATCACAAGGCCTCACAATGCGTCACAGGGCATCACAAGGCCTCATAAGGCATCACACGCATCACAAGGCCTCACTTAGGCATCATACTGCATCACAAGGCATCACACAACATCACAAGGCCTCACTTAGGCATCACACCCCATCACAAGGCATCACACCGGATCACAAGGCCTCACAAGGTATCACACAGAATCACAAGGCATCACAAAGCCTCACACAGCATCACAAGGCCTCACAAGGCGTCACTCAGCATCACAAAGGATCACAAGGCGTCACACAGCATCACAAGGCCTCACAAGGCATCACACAACATCACAAGGCCTCACACAGCGTCACAAAGGATCACAAGGCATCACACAGCATCACAAGGCATCACAAGGCCTCACACAGCATCACAAAGGATCACAAGGCATCACACAGCATCACAAGGCCTCACAAGGCCTCACAGGGCATTACACAGCATCACAAGGCATCACAAGGCCTCACTCAGGCATCATACTGCATCACAAGGCATCACACAACATCACAAGGCCTCAAGTAGGCATCATACTGCATCACAAGGCATCACACAACATCACAAGGCCTCACAAAGGATCACAAGGCATCACACAGCATCACAAGGCATCACAAGGCCTCACACAGCATCACAAAGGATCACAAGGCATCACACAGCATCACAAGGTCTCACAAGGCCTCACAAGGCATCACACAGCATCACAAGGCCTCACTTAGGCATCATACTGCATCACACAACATCACAAGGCCTCAAGTAGGCATCATACTGCATCACAAGGCATCACACAACATCACAAGGCCTCACTTAGGCATCACACCCCATCACAAGGCATCACACCGCATCACAAGGCCTCACAAGGCATCACACAACATCACAAGGCCTCACAAGGCGTCACAAGGCGTCACTCAGCATCACAAAGGATCACACAGCATCACACAGCATCACAAGGCCTCACTTAGGCATCATACTGCATCACAAGGCATCACACAACATCACAAGGCCTCAAGTAGGCATCATACTGCATCACAAGGCATCACACAACATCACAAGGCCTCACAAAGGATCACAAGGCATCACACAGCATCACAAGGCCTCACACAGCATCACAAAGGATCACAGGGCATCACACAGCATCACAAGGCATCGCAAGGCCTCACAAGGCATCACACAGCATCACAAGGCATCACAAGGCCTCACTTAGGCATCATACTGCATCACAAGGCATCACACAACATCACAAGGCCTCAAGTGGGCATCATACTGCATCACAAGGCATCACACAACATCACAAGGCCTCACTTAGGCATCACACCCCGTCACAAGGCATCACAAGGCCTCACAAGGCATCACACAACATCACAAGGCCTCACAAGGCGTCACAGGGCGTCACTCAGCATCACAAAGGATCACACAGCATCACAAGGCCTCACACAGCATCACAAGGCCTCACCTAGGCATCACACAACATCACAAGGCCTCACACAGCATCACAAAGGATCACAAGGCATCACACAGCATCACAAGGCCTCACAAGGCATCACAAGGCCTCACACAGCATCACAAGGCATCACACAGCATCACAAGACCTCACAAGGCATCACACAACATCACAAGGCCTCACACAGCATCACAAAGGATCACAAGGCATCACACAGCATCACAAGGCCTCACACAGCATCACAAAGGATCACAGGGCATCACACAGCATCACAAGGCATCGCAAGGCCTCACAAGGCATCACACAGCATCACAAGGCATCACAAGGCCTCACTTAGGCATCATACTGCATCACAAGGCATCACACAACATCACAAGGCCTCAAGTGGGCATCATACTGCATCACAAGGCATCACACAACATCACAAGGCCTCACTTAGGCATCACACCCCGTCACAAGGCATCACAAGGCCTCACAAGGCATCACACAACATCACAAGGCCTCACAAGGCGTCACAGGGCGTCACTCAGCATCACAAAGGATCACACAGCATCACAAGGCCTCACACAGCATCACAAGGCCTCACCTAGGCACCACACAACATCACAAGGCCTCACACAGCATCACAAAGGATCACAAGGCATCACACAGCATCACAAGGCCTCACAAGGCATCACAAGGCCTCACACAGCATCACAAGGCATCACACAGCATCACAAGGGATCACACAGCATCGCAAGGCCTTACACAGCATCACAGGGCCTCACACAGAATCACAAGGCCTCACAAGGCATCACACAGCATCGCAAGGCCTTACACAGCATCACAAGACCTCACACAGCATCACAAGGCCTCACAAGGCATCACACAGCATCACAAGGCCTCACACAGCATCACAAGGCCTCACACAACCACACAAGGACTCATACGGTATCACAAGGCATCACACAGCATCTCAAAGCCTCACAAGGCATAACAAGGCATCACACAGCATCACAAGTATCAATGAAGAGTGAAGTACTTGCTCGGATTGGCTGCATTTTAAAAGAAATGATGTAACGCACTTTCTACTGGATTACAGTTCCTTTTTCTGTAACTTGCACCTAACTATTTTCCAGTATTTCAGGTTCCAAAAATGGAGGACACATGAATGTTTGCAGTGTAGCTAAATGTCGTGGGTCGTGGGTGTGGGTCGTAGGTCTGGGTGTGGGTAAATGTAGTGGGTAAAAAAAGTCTTCCAAAGAAAAATTAAAGAATCAAATAGCAAAAAGTTGTAAAATTAATGAAACGAAGATCTCTGCGTACATACCAGTCCTATTCCCCCTTCCCGCGGTCAGCGGTCAGCACTGAACAAATAAGCGACTCCCCTAGTACGAAAGGGGCACTAAAAAGGCATATGGGTGAAAAAAAAAAGAAACTATGGAAAAAAAACAAAACAAAAAAACTATGTAACACCAGAAGCAAAGAAAAAAAAAACTAGAAACTGAACTGTGTTTTACCAAAGATGTTAACATTCGTGACCGAAAAGTCCGTAATGATATTTAGAATCGATCGTTACAGCAAAGGTTTTGTACACAAACCAAAACAAAAAAGAATCAACAAAATTGTATTTCCGTACGGCATTAACATTTACAAAAATGGCCATGTGTGAGCGCAGGCGTACTTCGCTATTAAGGAAATAGTTCAGTTCTATGGCATTAAAGGAGCTTTTCGGTTTTATTTTTTTAATTCTAACAGAAAAATCGTTGCTCCTCAAGGGTTTATGTTGTAAACTGCGTTCCGGTATGAACTCATATTACAACCTCCATAACCTTGCAAGGCTGTGATGCAGGACCATACCTGTATGAGTTCACAAGGTAAGGGAGCTTGTAGTAACCGGATCGGAGTAATTGTACTGTTTGTGTTGATCGACAGAATTCATGTGAAATTGCGTTGTATGTCTGTTACCCACCGAACAGTCACGAGGAATGAACCATCCCTGACAGAAATACAAGTCTGGATCGGCCTGAGGTATATGTGACAGCCCCAACCCACAGACGGAATCGTACACTTGATTTGGTCATCACTAGGACAGACTCTAAGAGTATGGTTGTGAAAAATGTTTCAGCTAATGGCGTGATTTGACTCTGATCACAAACTATCCACACCTTACTTTAAATTTACACCGGAAGCCATTCAATGAGAGACGGTTGTTTCTCGTAGTTCTGGGTAATTGGATTCAGTGGAGAGAACGCCATTCATGAACAGAATAAGGCGAGGATTGGAACGTACGTAAATTGCGTTCTAATCCGCTGGAGGACTACAGGGTGAACGTTCTGGTACAATGTTAGGTTGCTGAACTATGGGATGCCTGATACTAGGCAAAAGAGAATATTACTGTCATTTTTTGAGGATAATGCGCCACATAACGGTCATGCCTGTCGTGGCTAAAGTTTTCAGACGGATAACCTACGAGCAGCTTTATCTGTATAAAACTATGAATAGTTTTCTTACTTGTTATCAATCTTGTTTTCTTCCTTGTATTCCACGCTTACGCAGGGGCGGA